GCGACGTGGGAGGGATGGTCCCTCTGATCGAAGGTGATCGGAGATTCCAACCAGCTAAGGAAAGAGGGGACGGCGGTCTCGGCGGCACATGCCTCTCGATAGCGTACCTTGTGCTGGCGCTTGGAGCAGATGGCGTCGGATCCCTCGAAGATCATGATGCATTCCTCGAGGTCGGGGAAGCTGTCTCCGTCCTTGCCCGCCGCGCCTCCTTTCTTGGCTACCGCCTCTTTGCCGTATCCTTCTTTCGGCCCGCCGGCCTGTCGCAGGAAACGTTTGAAGAGCTCGCAGTCTTTGTAGAGGTGTTTGACGGAGTAAGCGTGGTTGGTGCACGGGCTATCCATGAGCTTGTTGAAGTGGTCAGGCAGGCCCTGCTAGGGCTGCTTGGTCCTCACGCTTGGCCTTGCCTTTGTCCCGGCCTCCGCTGAAGACCGCTCTGACCGCCTGCTCGCCAGAGACGTGGTTTGTGGCGACGTCAAGCAGGTCGCGGGTAGTACGGGGCTTCAGACACCCAAGCTTGTGGATCAGGGACTCGCAGATTGTCCCGGAGAGGAATGCGCTGTTGACGTCCGCGTCGACGACATCAGGAAGGGAGTTGCATCGTTTGGAGAACCTACGGATGTAACCCCGCAGGGACTCGCTTGGCTCCTGCCAGCAGCTCTTGAGGTCCCAGGAGTTACCAGGGCGGACATACGTCCCCTGCAAATTTCCGACAAAGACCCTCTTGAGGTCCGCCTAGCCGCGGATGCTGTCGTACGAGAGGAATTCAAGCCATGCCCGATCATGTTCCCCCACGTAGATGTGGAGATATTGAATGATGAAATGGTCATCATCCACCCCTCCGGCTCGGCAGGCGAGCCAGAAATCTTTGAGCCACATACCGGGGTTCGTCTCCCCGGTGTACTTGGCGATGTTGGTGGGTGATCGAAAGCGTTGTGGGAACGGCGCTCTCTGGATACGCCGGCCAAAGGCCCATGGTCCCGGGCCATCCGGGCTGGGACTCCGGTCGTCTAGCCGGCGACCATGCCTGGGGCGCGTTTCACCGCTCCCTCGATGGTCCGGCGGGGCCCGTGTCGCTTTGCCTCACTCCGCCCCGATGGACGCCATCATCATGCCAGCCCGATGCGGTTCTTGATGGCGACGCCGCGAAGCGTCTTAGTGCGGACCGAGCCGCTCGCGTCTCGGCGGTCGGTGTGGAGCAAAGGCGTCGTCGGGACATGGCCTTGCAACCGCCTCTCTGTGCCACGCTTGGCGGCTATAGCGGTGAGCGGATGGAGCGATCCGTCTAGTGTGCCCACTCCCATGGTGGGGAGAGACGTCGCGAGTCAGAGTCGCGATGCGGAACTTTCCGCCTGTTGAACGGCGGCGGCTTCCACCAGTGCCCATAGGTTCCGCTGGACCACCCGCTACTGGGGCTCTACGGGCTCGGGAACGCCGCGCAGAAGCATTGCCGCAGCGGCAATGTTCTGGCTAGCCCGAGGGAACTGTGGGGGGTCGTTCCCCTCGTCCATGATGTCACGTTGGACCTGGCGGGCGCGACCCCGGGCGCCGCTCGCCGGGTTACGCGCATGGGGCGCAACGTGCTGCACCGAGCGCGCCGACGCAGGTGGCGGCTGGTTCTGCCGCCGTTGTCGTAGCTCCTCGCAATGCTCTTGTGCGAGCGCGAGGGCCCCCGCACGAGGGTCCAGAGGGGTGTGAGTCTGCAAGAACTCGCTACCACCGACGGCTGTCCTAAAGCGTCCGCCGTAGCGCACTCCCGGGACGGACGGTGGCTAGGTGTCACGTCGCCAATGCTGGAGCCATCACTCTCAACCTCATCATCCAGGAGCTCGTAGAAACAGGTGGGAGCATAGCTCGCCACTCCCATGAATTCGGATGTAAGAGGAGGCGGCATCAGCATCTTTCGGAGCCCCCGGGCGTACGTGTCCACGGGGGACACGAGGCCGTAGGGGGACCGGTCGAATGACGGTTGCGGTAGACAATGCGGTCCCTCCGGATAATCGGTGGAAGATAGTAAATAGCGAGTAAATAACAACATATACATTACTCATAGCGAGGTTTGAGCAGAGCATTTGCTCGGAATGAAGTGCAGGCGCCTCGTTGTTGCAGTCGTGTGTCTCGGAGCTGATGGAGGGCGCCCCTCCGACGAGCGCCGGAACAAGTGCCTCCTCGCGGAGGTGTAGTACGCCGAACCGATCGGCGACGAAGTCTAGGCTTCTGAAGAGGAAGGCCTGGTACGGCTCGAAGACGGGTGGAACCCACGTCCCAACAAGTGGGAGTGCGGGAAACTCCAACGAGTCGAAGCGAGTCGTATCGCTTGAGCCCGCCATGGCGAAGGTGGCGAAAAAGTGGGCCATCCGATGACCAAAAGTGTGAACGTACAGCGTCTTCCCCATAGACGGCGCCAACTGTCGGTGCAGAAAGTGACCAAAACGTAAATATTTGTAGTTTCGCCGTACGTTGTGATCGGATGTGACCTAGCACTCAATGACACAGGGTTTATACTGGTTCAGGCAACGTGTCCTACATCCAGTTTGAGTCAGTCGGTGACTTTATTCCTGAGCCCATGTGCTCGAAGTTTACAGTGGGGTTACAAATGAGAAGGAGAAAGATGTGAGGTGCAAGAGATCGGGTTGGACTCTGGTCTGAAGGGCCGAGAGTGACGGAACTCCGCTATATGCTCAGTGTTTGAGCGTGTGCTCGAGGCTCGAACCTAGTGGTTCTGTTGTGTGTGTGTGAACTGATCGATCGCTTTTTTTTGGGAGAGAGCGCATCCCCTTTTATAGATGAAGGGGATGGCCTTACAAGTGAGAGAGGGAGAGTGTACATATGCTAAGTCTTGTTGCCCACGCCGTCGGATACAGGATGATTGTAGGCGCCCACAACACTGTTAATGTCAGATACATGTGGGAGGTTGCGTCTTCTTTTGGTATGGCAGACGTCGGTGCGTGCCATACTGTTGATGCCCAGAGGCATGTAGGGGGTTTTACCATGTTCGCCTGGTATGGTAAACGTCGGCGCCCGCAACACTGTTGATGCCCAGACGCATGTGGGGGAGCCTTAGCGTGCTTGTCTAGTATGAGAGTTGATGGCGCCCACAACACTGTAGAGAAAATTTTGGCGCCTACAACACTGCTTGCGTTCTGACATGCCAAGAAGGTTGCAGGGTACTGTCCTGCAGATGTACAGGGTACGGTCCTTGGTATTGCGGTTGACTTAAGTGCCCTGCCTTACTTTCTCCGTCCGTTTCCTGGTCCTCACCGAGCGGGCGTCCCCGGTCGGTTGGTCCCAATGGCTCGATTGCGCCCAATGGAGAAGAGTCAGAAGGGGGTTTACGCATCCCACGGAGACGCGGGTCGGAGTCGGAAGTGGTGTTTGTCAAGCCTTCCGGTCGGAGAGGTCGTCCGGAGGCGGGCCGGAGTTGGAAGCGAGCATTGTTCCTCCTTAGTGAGGCCTTCCGATCCGAGAGGCGGGCCGGAGTCGGAAACGGACGTCGTTCCTCCTCGGCCAGGCCTTCCGGTCGGAGATTGGATCACCCTTCTGGCCTGTCGTTTAGGTATTTGGGCCGGACCAGGAGTTGCGCGTCGTTTGCAATGTTGTCTGCTGGGCCGAGCCTTTGTTGGGAAGCCGGTCCATGAGGGACCCCGGGTTTATGAACCCGACACATTTTGACAAAACTACACTTTTCTTGATGAGGACATCAGTCCTTCAATTCAAACCACATCACCAGCCACAACAGATATGCAACAACTAGCCACTCAGTCTTGTGCACATGAACTCAATTATGTGATTCTTGTAAGGAATGAATGTCAAGACATAAAAAAAATGAGAGCGACATAAAAGGGGTGTTGTGCCACCTGTCCTTGGGCTGGGCCCATGTAATAAAGACCACATTTTAGGTAGATTTGGAAGGGATGGGAGAGGATTGTGCAAACATTGTTCTTCAGTTGTGTCAGATGACCCATGCAAGACAGCCTTTGAGAATTCCACATGTGTTGAACGAGATTGTTCTTTTTGTATTCCAGTTTTGCCCAAGTCAGGTTGCAGGAATTGAACCTTGTTTTCAGATAGCAAGGCCAATAACCATGCTGAGTTGGTTCTGCAATTACTAAGGTGCCCACTATCTGTTCGTTCATAGTCAGATCGCAAGAGTCACCTCCACCTGCTCAATAGTTACCTTTAGGGTCACCCAACCTTATTATTTCTTGTCTATTAATGTCACAAAACTACACATTTGTGCTCACTTCATTTCATAACCACACTTCAGATAATCAGATCTCAAAAGTGTAGTTTTGCCATACAGATGACAATAAAAATGTGTAGTTTTGTGATAGATGATAATAGAGGTTTAGTTTTTTAAACTTGATTCCTCAAAGTGTAACTTTGCAAAAGAAAAAGGTTGCTAAATAAAGTGTAGTTCTGTGGAGCTACAAGGTGTAAGTACTGCAACTTCAGTGTCTTTTGCGAAATTTGCCATGTATAGAGAAACCCATGCATCGCATTAAGGGCACGTTTGGCAGCCGTTCCGCTCCCATTTCTAGCGAGAAACAGCGGGAATCGGTGCCAAATGCAGAAAGGACATAGCGGTTCTGGAGCGAAACCTTTCATGCTTTTGTACTATGAGAGAGAAACGGTGAAAAGGTGGTTTCTAGTGATTCTCATTCTTCCTTCTCACCTCATATTTTTTTCAATTAATCCTTTTTAGTTAAGTGGAACAAGTTAAAATGGGTTGTATTTAAGTTGTTCTTCGTCCACAAAAAGTTTGGAATTTTTTGAAGTATATTTTTATTTGATTTTTTTGTGAATCGGAACAGTCTATCAGCCAAACGGTTTCACAAAGTGATTCTGATTCATCATATCCAAAACATTTATACAGGAACCCGGAGCCCTGCCAAACACACCCTAAGGTAGTCAACACCCAGGTTGATATCTAGCTCTACAGACATTTAACAAATTCGATATCAGAAGTGAAACTAAGTAAATATGCAGTTACAGGAACTTACATGGAGTACAGCAGTCTCTGTCACAATATCCTGAGAAGACAGTACATCAACTACAGGAAATCGAGCTGAAGTTAAAGTTACTTCTTTGCCAATACATGACATATCGAAGCCATATACGTTTTCCCAAAATGGCAAGCTAGTTCCACCTTTCCCAAAGCCAGCACCAAGCTAGAGGGTGGATCAGGCATGAGTTATCAAACAGCAGAAAATACAGGACATAATACAAGCAATCAACTGAGGACTTACAATAGTTGCAGTATCTGGGAGAATAGCACCACCAGGTTTTAGAAAATGATCACGTGCATATAGGACAGAACTTAGCATGGATTCATACAGCAGGCAATATCCCATCCATTCACTCACTAACACATCAAAGCCATTTTGTGGGACTTGTATTTTCTGGTTTAGCTCTTCAGCCTTTGTATGTACAACGCTTATCACTTGAGCACTACCTTGCTTTTGTTCTGCTTTCACGTTTTCATCATACAATAGACCATTATTCTTTGCAACCTGCATCATGCAATACCTATAAGATACTCATGGTGCAAAGAGGTTCGTATTTTAATACAATAGTGAAGACAAAAGAGACATACTTGGGTAGCCACAGAAGCCATCTTTGCACTCCCATCAACAGCAACAACTCTAGATGCACCAGCCTTAGCTGCAAAAAGACTGTAGATAGGAAGCATATCAACAGCTGCACATGCGAAATTGACAATTCACCATGCATCAAAAGTAGTCATTTACTCATTTTTATGACCAGCATTGGACTTCAGAAATATGATCACTATATAACATGAAGTGCTTCCTGGTCACGATAGGAAAGTTGTTCTAGCTTTAGAATTTGCTTCTGATCACAAACATAAGTCCATTTAGATTTGCCCTAACTACTAAGTCATTTTTTTTAAAATTTTACTAGCAATATCTACAGAATCATCTTAAATGAAAACTGTTATATGCCCAATGTTTTAAAAAAACGTTATTAAACTTCGTTTAATCCCGTTTAAACGCTAAACTTTGGCCCAGCGTTGCGTTTAGGGGGTAAACGCTCAATTAAACTTTGACCTCAATTAAACGCATGTCAATCACTGAACTGATGAATTGGATTGGGGATTTATTTTAGGGTTAAGATTGAATGTGTACTGCTCCTTAGTCCTTAGGATGCGTTGATCTGTTGGTCCTTACTATGCTACTTTTGTTCTTGGATTGGGATTAGGATGTCGACTTCCGAAGCTGCAGCTGCTGCTGGTACTGCAGCACCGGCTCCAGAAGCCGCCGATGTTGCCAACCACCTAAAGAGGAAATCATCTGATATAGGCTGGGAGTGGGGGCTAATCTGTGATCACTGTTATTACTTCAAGTTGTGTTATTAGTACTGATTTTGCTCTCAGAATCACAAAAATAAAATAAAAAACCAAAAACGTTTAATCTCGTTTAAACTTCCAAAACTCTAAACTTTAGGCTAGCGCATGCCTAGCGTCTAGCGTTTTTTAAAACATTGTATATGCCATCAAAATACTTTCCACAATGAATCGATAAATGTCAAATTTGTTTTGCCAATCCTTATAAAACTTTAGATATAGATGGTCAACTTAAATCATGAACTAGATCAGGTTTGTCAACACTGTACCTACTTATAGGACCTTAATGTGCAACCAAGTCAAAATTATCCATAACCAGCCAGTTGAGTACAATTATCCAAACCAGACCTTTCTTGTGAACTATTATTCCAGTTATGTTTTCCAGATGTGCAATATGAAGCCTATTTGCTTTTTTACAGGATCCAAGACTTGCATCATTGAATTTCATGGTCAAGATAAACTAACCCCCATGCGCATAAGTAATTAGTAGGTGACCATCATATGGTGAATGCTTAGATACCTTAGAATTCCTGTGCCACAACCAACATCCAGTACAGTTGCTCCACTTAATAGGCTAGGATTGTCTAAAATAGCATCTCTGTAAGCACCTGTTCTGACCTGAAAAAGGTTATTCAGAGCATTTGGTGTGTTTAGGCCACACAAATACATATTGGACATGAATAGGCATACATATTTGACAGACTTGTTGACCACAAATCCAGAAAGAGTTCACCTACTTTATCACCGAGCATCTCCCTGTGGATACCAAATGAACTGTAAGATCCAAAGTAGTTATCATCCACAGTTTTGATTGCTTTGGCATTAGCACTAGCACGTGCAACCTTTAGGTGGCTATCACTCATCTTATGAACAAGAGACTCCCTGTCCTCCCCTTGTGTACTCCCAATAGTACACTCTTGATGAAATTGAGGGCTGATATCAGAACCATTTCTTTCCGATATGGTTCTCAGCGTGTTCCCCGGTGGTTCAGCTAAAACCCCATTCCCTGCTGAACATTGTCCTCTTTCCATTGACACCCCACAGTCCTCATCTTCATCATCATCGTCATCGATTGACAAGCTGTGCAAAAGGGAGTCGTCTTCCATGAAAGGTTTCAAGTAAATGTCGTCCTCCCATGGCACTTTTCCCTCAATTTTGTAATTCTCCATTGCGTGCAAGTGGCTGCAGAGTTCGGTGTTGGAAGAGAATGCTTGGCCACAGCTCCAGCATTTTTCCTCTGCAACCTATGAATCAGCAACGGCTAGAAATCAAGCAGAGTACGCACAAAAATTAACAAAATTGCAACCTTAATCAGCTCTTCATACCACCATAGAACCATTGATGTATGCAAAGCAATTGAGCAGATAATACTACTGCAGACATTAACATGGCCCAAAAAAGATTACTGTCAGCAGAAGGGTGTTGCTGACGCACCTTGGAGCGGACAAAGTTGATGAGCTTGATGCAGCTGTAGAAATCCAGCCCCAGCTCCTTCACAATCCTGTGGAAATCGAAGCAGTGCTCGGCGGCGCAGTGCTCGAAGAGTGAGCTCTCGGCGTCAAAACGCGAGCTACAGAACAAGCACAGCAGCCCGCCGCCAACATCTTCGCCGTCGAAGCACCAGTCGTCCCACCCCTCCTCTCCTTCCTCCTCATCTTCCTCCTCCTCCTCGGACCTTAGCGGCTCTTCTGCCTCAGGATCCTCCTTCTCTGCAGAGCTGCGCTCCATTTACTGCGCGGCGTGGTTTGCAGGGAGCTCCCTGGCGCACTCGCTCGGCCCGCCGTCTCACCGGTCGCCGCGCCGCCGCTCAGAGCTAGTGCCTCACCGAACTAGGGTTTTAGACAGATGGGGTTTTAGGACTAGTCGTCCAACCCTAGCAATTGGGCCTTTCTTAGTTGCCATTTGCCAGGCCGGCCCATCTAATACTCTCCACGTCTGGAGCCCAGTACGTGCGGTTGTCTACAACGCGGTACTCCGATGACTATCGCCGCGGAGTCCGCAAGCACTAAAGCTTGTGATTGGTTTCCTCCCCTATTTTAGCCTGGCTAGCTTTAAGACTGGCTAGTTTTAGTCTATCCTAGTGAGTCCATCTCTAGTTATTTGGTTTGGTTCTCTGTGGCTAATAACCGACGTGTTTAGTTATCTGATTTATTTTGCATAGAATTACCTCCTCTTCGTGCGGGTAAGTATACCCATGTTGAGGAAAGTTGTTGAACAGGCGATGGGCGCCATGAAGACCTCGAGAGCACGGCAAAGAAAGCATCACGGCCATCTCGGCAAAGAGAGCACGCGCAATGAAAGTATCACGGCCATCTCGGCAAATTTGAACACTGCAATGAGCATCACGGCCATCTCAAAGAAGAGAGAGCACGGGCGCGAAGCACAAGAAGCAGAGCATAGCAAATAGGAGAGCAGCATGGTAGCATCTCGGCGAGCACAGCAGCATGCCGAAGGTGAGCCCCGACGCGGCCTGCACGAACACGGCACACGCCACCATCACGGCCATGGTGGCCGCGAGCGACGATGCCTCCGCTGCGCCCATCCTGCCGACCAGCATGCACAGTGTCGCGCCGACGGTCTGCACGGCCCAGAGTAGCCATAGCCTCCCACGCATCCCGAACATCCTCGCAACTGCGTCCGACGCCAACCCGCCCGCGGGCCGCGCCACCGCATTCATCGCGCCGAAGCACGCCGCGGCGGCGCCCGCAGCCTCCATGGGTGGGCCGCGAGCGCAAGCATATCCCCCTCGGCCTTGGAGAAGCAGCGGAGAAAGGGGAACGCCGAGCCGTGCTCCACTAGGTTGTGTGTGCGCGCGTCTAGCGCCGCCACCTCCTCCGTCGCGCACGGCAACAACTCGTACCTCACCTCCATCTTCGCCGTCGCTTGCAGGGACCCGTACCTCCTCCGCCCCGATGACTCACAGGGACCCGTACTTCCCCGCCGCAACTCGTACCTCCTCCCCGGCGCCCCGTGGCCCCAGCGATCGACGCGTGAGCATGGCGAGCAGGGACGACGCGGACGGAAGACGACGGACACAGGGAGGTGACGGGAACGGAAACTTGCACCTGGCTCCACAAAAATGAGGGACACCCGTGTTCTTTTGTGGCCTGACTAAGAGCGTATGGTTGGGTCCATGAAGCAGACCCCAACCGATCTACAGCCAGCCAAAGAAGTCTAACTTGGCTCCAGAGGTTGGCTATCAACACACCTACAGAAACTTTGGTAACGCCAGCCAGGGAGATATGACGAAACCTAAGTGAGTGGCGGGGTTGGCTTCCAAGATATGGAGCTGTTTAACTTACCCTACTCGCTCGCTGGGCATGGCAGATACTGCGAGACGCAAGGCTTTGAGCACTCGTATTTTGAAGGCACTTTATTACCTAGAAAGGGATTTTTTGTTGACGCCTGTTAGGTCCTTCACCATCGTGCACATGGAGATCTATTATCAATGGGAGGGGCACTTTGGTGTAGGGTGAGTTCTTTATTCCAATGGACGCTAAAATTATTTTTAGTATACCATTGTGCACTTCACAGCAGGAAGATTTTTGGGCATGGTGGTATGAGAAGTCGAGGATGTTTTCAGTCAAGTCTACCTACAGAATGCTAGTGCATAATCGGGAGAAGCATACGGCCTAGTAAGATCACACATCCGACAGATCGGACACAAAGGCAGATGAGAAAGAGTGGGTTGATATGTGGAAAGTGAAAGCACCTCAAGGGTTAGTCTCTTTCTAGGCGGCTTGCATGCTAGACAATCTATACTCAAGATGTAAGGTTTCACAGGAACATGGCAGACAATTTTCGTTGCAGTCTTTGTGGCGAGTCAGATTCATGGAAACATGCTCTCCTACAGTGCCATATGCGCGAAGGTGGTCTAGGCTTTAGAGAGGGAGGAGATTGACTAAAGTTTTGAGTATGATTAGTGAAGAGGATGTGAAATCACAGTTGTCCGTTGTTATGAAATCCATGCCTCATGATGCACTGACGCGTGTGGCGGTACACCTTTGGGCGATATGGCATGTGTGGCGCAAGGTGTTTCATGAAGATGTCTACCAGAGCCCTCTCTCGACGCATTGTTTTGTGGAGGACTTATTGATGATCAAATCGGTTACAGGGAGCGGCAGGAGCGACCAGCATGTAATGCCGCCAAGATGGCTCCCCCACTATTCGGGTTATCAAAGGTGACTGTCGATGTGGCCTTGGCTAAGAATTCCAACTACTCGGCTGCAGTTGCGGTGGCAAGAGATGAGGCTACAAATTTCATAGGGGCCTCAGCTTTAGTTTTGAAAAGGACTAACCAATGCAGAAGTGGTTGAAGCGGTAGCATGCTGGGAGGGGCTGGCACTAGCATAGGAGTATAGGACCTTGCTCTTGAGAAGCACTACTACACTCGCACTTTTCATAGCCACGTCATAACCCACATCGTAGTCCAATTTTGGCCTCGGCAGTAAGTTATCAACAGTGATGGTCATAGCCTTCACCGTCGGCATCTAGGATCGACTGCGATGTACACTAACGCCATTGATTGGCTTTTGATCCGTCTGTGATTAGGTCTTTACATCAGTCGCATTGGAGCACGACCCGACTATGGATGTACACTAATACCGCCGCATTGGCAAATGATCTGACTATGTCGAGGCTATCAAAACCGTCGTGTGGGCACATCAACCGCCTGTGTAGTGGTCACCAACACCGTCTCCTTGTACTTTGACCCGACTGTCAGCGGTGCGGGTTCACTGTCGGTTTGACGGCCGAGCCGCCTGTGTAGAGGTTAACACCACCGTCGCTTCAACGTATGATCCGCTAGTACAAAGGTCATGGTCACCGTTGCCTTGCATCACGATCCGCCTTTGATGATCGTTTAGTCGGTGTCGGGTTACTAAAGGATTCGACGGTGATATACTTTTGATCCCTACCGCATCATACATATAGCGACGGTGACAGAATTTCATCCGGTTTCACATTATTTACTAATTCAGCTGGGCCCTTAATAGCTTCATGAACATAAAGCATATAGATATATAATCATTACATCCATAAATCATGTTCACAAACAAGAGTATTTTTTACAATAACAATGGACGCTAGCATAACATCTTTCTCAACTGATGTCCTAACACAAGTGGTACATAGAGCATACTAAAGGTACTGATATATATAGACTTACATAACGAAACGACGTAGTTGTGCTCCTTCTATGTGGCACTCCTGCTTGCAAGGCAAAATGAATATAATTAGTTCATCCTTCGGATTGATAGCCAATGCACCATGGAACCCTCTTATTCATCTCTAATCCACAACCTGAACAAACTAGCATAATTAATAATATTAAACATACCATTCCTTTAGTTAACAAGCTAAAATTAGCCTATACATACATAGAATGAAAACAATTGCCTACCTGAACAAAAACTGTCGTGATGACGAAATACAGGAAATGCATCTTTACTGTTCTGCTAATGACTTCATGAACAAGTGAACATAAGGAAGATAATAAGGTCTGTTCATATGGAGACAGCCTCTTGATCTACAAAAGCGGATGACACGGGCATGGATGACATGAACCTTTCTGCGGTCCATGTCATATGCAATCAATGTTCTATCCTTCCCAATAAGGAAAATGAAATTTTATTTTGGGTGAACTGTAATCACTCTGTACTCCTCATCACAAAGCTCAGAACCAACTTTAATATTTGTGCGTCCAAACAGTTCTTCCATATCCACAACATGCTTCAAACTCCAGTTATCAGTACCATAGTCTTCAAGTATCCACACTAAAAGCCAAGACCTATTGTGAAAATCAGCACAGCACACACACAGGTGACCCTAAGCTTGATGGATGGATATTTCAGAACCACCTGATTTACAAATTGTCCTCCATGTCTTTCCCTCTATATCCACAGCAACTATCGTAGAGTACTCAAGCATGTGCATAAAACCATTAAGAAAAAACACTTCTTGATTTTGAACGTAGAACAATACTACCCTCGCCCCATTCAGATTCATTAAAGATTCATGCTACAGTTTTAGATGAGTAGATCTCTACACCTACGCACACACCCTCCACCTCAACAAATTCAATCACATGGAAGTGCGAGGACGTTGGGTCAAAACCTAAGCGAGCCTAACCAACACAACATAGCGACGTAATCTATCAGGCCTAGCACACCAGCAAAGGACGGGGCCGCTGCAGCAATTTGAGACTAGGACTTTTTTAAGGAGGAAGGGCAAGAAAGACAAGGAGAGTCGTTCACCTGTGATGCTGGTGAAGTGGCGATTGCCCTTCCACCAGTTGCCATAGAAGAAGCCGACGACAGTCTGTGAAAGCTTCTTACGTTGATAGGAGTCAGAGATGACGCGCTTCTAGGAGCGATAGACACACTTGCAGCAGCACAAGGACCGGGCGGGGAGGTAGCGGAAGATGTTGACAAGCACATCGTCTGAGAGGCAGTCCACTGCGTTCCTCATGTTGGGGGCCTCCTTATGGCAGAACCTCCTAAATTATAGGGCCCACATGCACCTATCACTGTCCAATGACCTCTGACAACTATGCATATGTTCCTGGTAACTTAAGAAGACAGTCGGGTGTCCTCGGAGAACCCCAAATCATCCACGATTTTCGAGCAGGATCCCATTACAGAGTCATTGCAGTATTACAACAGTTTATTCAAATAGATACATCAGAGTAAAAATAGCGGAAGTCTTACAATAACTTAGTTTACAAAATATTTATTTCAAACATTACAAACTAAGTTCGATTAATAATACAAACAGTAGCAGTGGAGTGACATTATAACATAATACAAAACACACAATTAAACTGCCCTGCCCAAGGGCCACACATTTACTTCTCGTCATCGCATTGAACAACTATCATGCAGCACAGTCCAAAACAGACCTGCTCATGGGGCTCACCTGCAACAAGGGTCAACGAACCCTGAGTACAAAAGTACTCAACAAGACTTAACCGAAATAAAAACTGATAAAACTCAGGAATGCAGGCTCAGGATTCAAGATAGGGCTTTAGCAATAATCAAAGTTCTTTTACGTAAAAGCTCTTTAACAAATTCTTTATTTTCACATATAAAACTTCATAAGAACCATATATGAATCTACCATGATCCGTAATGAGATCATGAACTTCATAACAAACTCTTTCTCAAATCCAGCTCAAGTTTCATTTGTTAACTACGATAATGAATAGTGAGTTGAGTCTCCATAACCAAGGAGCAACGTCGATTCAAACCGATTAAACCCAGCTGGGGATTCCAGACCACACGACATATGTAGGTCCCTGACCTACATATACCAACCTACCCTCAGATCCTCAAACAAGAACAGGTCCACGCCACCCGATAATACAGTACTCCACCAATCCAGCCCATTGCCACATGGGTACACGCTATTCTCGCCATCTCTCCACTCCCAGTGCGCGAGTAGCCATTCTCGTAATAGAATAGCCAAGTTAAGGCTTACCAGAGTATGTGGTTAGTACTACAAAGTCTCACCTCATACAATTCAACAACAGACGGACCTTAATCGACACAGGCGGAAAGAACCCGCTCACAAGACCTCCATGTCTTGTGGCTCTCACACACCGAGTCCACCCGATCTAGATTTATTACTCCACATGCTCATATCTCATGATAACATAAGTAACCAAACGTAACCAAAGATCCATTTAAATCTCGCAGGTGACAGGTAATCACCCGACTT